AGCAAGAGCCTGTGCTGCCGCAACCTGGCCGTGGAGAAGGCGGTCAGCGAGCTGCCCTCCGAGTGCGGCTTCTGCGCCCAGCAGTTCCCGCGCTCCCTGCTCGAGAGGCACCAGAAGGAGGAGTGCCAGGACCGGTGAGGGGGTGGGAGCCATCCGGGGGGTGGGGCCCGAAATCCCTCCCTGGTGGGTCCTTGGGAAGTGGTAGAGAGGTTTGGGAAAGGACAGCGCGTTGTCCTTGGAGCCACGTTGGCATCCAGCATTCCGGTGCCCCCTGGAGCCGCTGGCACAGTTGGGGTTCCCACCCCAAAATCCCTCCCTGGCGGGATCCCACCTCCTTGGGAAGCTCTGAGCCACCTTCACATCATGGCAAAGCCAGTTCCCTCTCCAGCCCCTGGCACAGGGTCTTCCCATCCCAGAATTCCCCCTTGGCATCATCCCACCTCCTTGGGAAGTGCTGGCAGTTCGGGAGGGGACACGGAGCCACGTTGGCATCCAGCATAAATCCCCTGGTTGTCCTTCCCTCCTTTCCAGTGTTGGGTTGGCATCTCCCTTGGGAATCCATCACGCTCCAGCTGTGCCACTGATGGTTTTCCATGTCTCTCCCAGATTCCCAAGCCATGCTGTGGCGCTGATGGTTTTCCATGTCTCTCCCAGATTTCCCAGCCCTGCACAGCTGTCCCCTATTATCCAGCCTTGTTTTTGGATCCAGCTGTGCCGATAACGGTTTTCCACGTCTCTCCCACCATCCCAGCCTTGTTTTTGGGATCCCTCCTCCCTTCCCATCGCGGGCCCAGCGGGATGCCCGTTATCCCCCACCCCCCGTGACGGTGTTCCGTGTGTTCCGTGTGCTCCCGTTCCCAGGGTGACCCAGTGCAAGTACAAGCGGATCGGGTGCCCCTGGCAGGGCCCGTACCACGAGCTGTCGGTGCACGAGGCCGAGTGCACCCACCCCACCAAGACCGGCAACGAGCTCATGGAGATCCTGGACGAGATGGACCAAACGAGGAAAAAGGAGATGCAGCTCTACAACAGCATCTTCAGCCTGCTCAGCTTCGAGAAGATCGGCTACACAGGTACCCGCATTCCCGGTGTTCCCGGCGTTCCCGGTGTTCCCGGCGTTCCCAGCATCCCCACGGCACGGGCAGGGCATTTGACCTTCCCACCACAACCCCCAGTGGCTCCACACCCCCTTCCCACCCTTCCCGCTCTGCCAGAGGGGTTTCCAGTCCCATTCCCACTGTGCCAGAGGGGTTTCCAATCCCATTCCCACTGTGCCAGAGGGGTTTCCAGTCCCAATCCCGCTCTGCCAGAGGGGTTTCCAGTCCCATTCCCGCTCTGCCAGAGAGGTTTCCAATCCCAATCCCGCTCTGCCAGAGGGGTTTCCAATCCTATTCCCACTCTGTAAGAGGTATTTCCAGTCCCAATCCCGCTCTCTCAGAGTGGCTTCCAGTCCCAATCCCGCTCTGCCAGAGGGGTTTGCAGTCCCAATCCCGCTCTGCCGGAGGGGTTTCCAGTCCCAATCCCGCTCGGTGGTGGTGGCTGGGCCGGTTTGAGCCGGGCAGGGAGGGAAGTTGGGGTTTCTCCTGGAATGCTGGGGGTAAATCCCTGGTTAAAAACAGGAAGATAAACAGAGAAGGAAACTGGAATGTTTTAGGATCCCGGGAAAGCCTGGTGGGAACTGCTGGGGGTTCCTGGAATGTTGTAGGATCCTGCTGAGTCCCTCTGGGATCTGTTGCTGGTTCCTGGAACGTTGTAGGACCCCTCTGGGATCTTTTGCTGGTTCCTGGAATGTTGTAGGACCCTGCTGAGTCCCTCTGGGATCTGTTGCTGGTTCCTGGAATGTTGTAGGACCCCTCTGGGATCTGTTACTGGTTCCTGGAATGTTGTAGGACCCCTCTGGGATCTGTTGCTGGTTCCTGGAATGTTGTAGGACCCCTCTGGGATCTGTTGCTGGTTCCTGGAATGTTGTAGGACCCCTCTGGGATCTGTTGCTGGTTCCTGGAATGGCTTTGGCCGTGGCAAACCCTTCCCTGCCCCGTTGGGATCTCCCTCACCCCCCGTTTCCGTAGCCCCCGTCCCTCCTCGTGCTCCACCTCGGGCGGGCTGCGGGTGCCCCGGGGTGGGGGGTGGGTCCCCACTGGGGTGGTGTGGGTGCCCCGAAGGCCCCTCTGCCACCCCTCTCGTGTGCCCCAGAGGTGCAGTTCCGCCCGTACCGCACCGACGACTTCATCACGCGGCTGTACTACGAGACGCCGCGCCTCACCGTCCTCAACCAGACCTGGGTGCTCAAGGCGCGGGTCAACGACTCGGAGAGGAACCCCAACCTGTCGTGCAAGCGCACGCTGTCCTTCCAGCTC